CTGTCTGCTGATGGCACATTCCAGATCAAAGCTGTCAGTCAGCACACATGGTGCTCCACCTGCCGGAGGCATGGCAGCTGACTGCACCTCACTGTGGACCCAGCATCCTTCCATCTGCTGCTGCCTGTGGTCCTCACAGCAGTCCTGCAAGGTGCAGGTGCTGAACCCGTTTTCTAGATGAGACTGTGGCACAGAGAGATTAACTAGATGAGGCTTCCACAGCCAGTGGGTGACGGGACCAGGAGTTGAGCCTGAGGCCGAAAGGCTCCAGAGCCTTCACTGAGCCTGTTGCCTGCACTGTACACAAGAAAACTGTCTCACCATGAGCAAGTGGAAACTCCCAAATTAAGTACTAACACTTGGACTTGATGGTTAGGTCTTGTCCAGGGTCCCATGTGGGCTGTGGGCAGGCAGCTGTCGGCATGACCCACTCCATCAGATGACCAGAGAGCCACGGTATCTTCACTGAGGACACACAAGGCACTTGATAAAACTCATCGTTCCTGATGTTTAAAAACCACACGTCTGCATCAACTAGGAGCCAAAAACATTTCCCTAATAATAGGAAGTCAGACAGCATCATTTTCATGGGGATGATGCGTCCCCATTACAGCCAGGAGAGGGCAGAGAAGCCAGCCATGCAGTGATAGTGGACACGTCCATGGGGAGGAGAGGTGGTTAAGTAGGAGGGAGTGATTGTTGACGGTCACTAGCAGGTGTAGGAAACCCTAAGGCATAGACTCAAATAATTAGAAAGGAGGATAAATAGGTAGCTAAGTGTGCAATAAAATTTGCATATATCATGTTACTAGCTTTTCAATTAGAATAATCAGAAGAAAATAATGAAATAGATCTTCCTCATAGTGCAGTGGAAGTAATAATGTATCTCAGGATCCCCAGTAACCAATACGCTGGGCCTGGATTAGGCCCTTTTGGAGGCCTACCATGTATGTATGTGGCAATACTTTGTTCTTAACTGAATTTACATCTTGTATTCAATTCCTTTAAAATCCCAAAGGAACTTAGGAACACCTGTCAGTGTTATGTTCACGTGGAGGAATATACCTTAGTGAAAGTCTCCATGCAGGCTTCGAGCGAGAGAGCCAGGTGGGAGGCCACTGTGCCGGTGACCTTAGCACGCTGAGGAGCTGGGGGACAAAGGAGGCCAGTGCTCTGGGGACAGCCGCTGCCCAGGCCCAGGTGGGACTGAGCTGGAGACTGTTCAGTGAATGGTTCTGGCAGATGTTGGACAAAATAATGCTGGGTTTCTTACACACTTTCCCTTGCAGCCCCACCATGCAGAGAAAACCATTCTCAATGTTGTGATACTAAACATTTTCCTACATGTATAAACTACCCCTATTACTTATTTTGGAGAAATGATGCAAAATTTTTTTTCTGCTTCTGCAATTCACTTGAATATTTTCCCTCGTGAATAAGTTGTTAAGTACACCTTTGTAGTGGCTGTATAGCCCAAACATGTCAGGACTGTAAGAATTAAGCCCAGTGCCCTCCATTACCCTTGAGATTAATGAGTCGAGTCTGCCAGCCTTAGGAGAGTTGGGGAAATACTCAGAGTTGCTGTGGTTCAGTGAGGAGTCCCCCAAATTTTCATGGTTCCGTGCACACCTGGTGGGGGAGCGTGAGATGTCGTGGCCGGTGGCGTAGAGGACAGAGGGCTGAGGAGCACTTGAGTCACCTTCAGTGCAGACCTGCCCTGTGTGGGGGCAGGTGCTCTGGTCAGTCCTGAGCGGTTCTGTCACTGTCAGCGATAGGAGCATGTTCAGTGGGTCTTCCCAGTGGTCATGCCACTGCGTGGGGGACACTTTGTGCAAGCCAAGCTCGGCGCTGCTGTCATCACTGCATTCCCAGCGGCTCTGAGGTGAGTCCGTGGGGGCTTGGCCACACTGTGCCTGCACAGCACACCCTGCTATTAAATGCCCACATGTAGAATTCTCTCTTTAGGGACACATACTAGAAACTTATTGGCTGGCTGGTTTCATGCTCTTTCCCCACTCTTTGAAGTTACCTAGCGCAAATCAGCATTTTGGATAAATGTGGGGTTGAAGCAAAATTCACTTCAGTATGAGTACCACCTTGCACATTCATTACATCGGCCATGCTGCATTTAGTGCCACAGCATCTTCTACAAGTGGGGGCTCAGGGCTGCGTGGCCATCGAGGGGTCATCTCCACGTAGAGACCGCTTGAGCTGGCCTGCAAGCTCCATAGATAGACCCACTTAACTCAAAAAGGGCCTAATTAACTTCTAGCCCATCTTAAATGTTGGTGACAAATGTAGGATCATTTAACAAACAGAACACCCTGTCCCAAATGCTCTTAACAGGTAAAGGTGTTTTTCCTCTTGAGTGGAGGCTGCCCTCCTGGCCAGCAGATGCCCAGCATGCAGGGGTCAGGTTCCCCTCTCCCGGCCTGCTTTCTTTCCTGGCAACCTTGTCACAGACGCCGGTGGGCAGTGCCAGCCTGGCTCCGGACCTTGGGTGTAGGAGCAGACCTTTGAGGGGCAGGCAGGCACGGAGAGCTGTAGGGGAGGCAGCTTTCTGGCAGTCATCTTCCATCCATAGTCTTCTCTAAAACTGAGTTACCTGAGAAGGCGCATCTGAGTCCACGAGTCCCACAGGTTTTTTCGCACCTGCCCTTCTGCTTTCCAGACAGTGAGTCATGTCCCTAACCAAGCTTTTACCCCTGGGCAGCACCCCATGGCTGGTGTAAAAGTAAACAAAAGAATCTTCCAGGGAGCCACACCCAGGACACCACAGTGCTGGTTTCAGGGGAGCATCTTGGATGGATTAACACAGGCATCAACCCTGCCACCAACCGCTATTGCCAGTTCACCCTTTGTTGTGCAGCGATTTTCCTGGGGGTGAACGTTGAAATGTTCTGAACTGATGCACATTTTCAGTACACTTTTGCTTTTAATATTTCATAATTATCCAAGTTTATGTTTTGTTATCTTGACTGGGTTTGCATTGCTAATTATTGCCGTGTTAGCTCAGTTTTTCAGATGAATTTTAACTACTAGAAAGTATATTTAAGTACATTCTTAAGTAACAGTTCAGTTTCTGTACATATTTCTGTTGCAGGGAATAAATATACAAGAGTGATAAAAGACTTCAAAGCGTAGCAGTGCATTCAGGTCGAGCTCCAGGGGCAAGTGGGATAGTACACACGCTCAAAGGGAGTGAGCTTCTAGCTGTTCACAGCAGAGCGCGCGAATTCCGCCCCTCAGCACCTCCCTCCTCACCCTAGTCCCAGCTCTCTTCTGTGTCTGGAAGCATGTAGAGCAATTAGGAGAACGGAGAAGAGCCAGAGCCAATCCAGCATGAGGGCTGCTGGGCTCCCGGAGGCAGAGAACCAGGCAGGTGGGACAGGAGAGGAAGCACCTGGGATACAGTGGAGCCGCGCTTCCTGTGCCGCCTCAGACTTGGCCCCCAGCATCCTGGTCAGTAATGGCATTTCAAAGGCGAAGAACTCCTCAGGCCCCCAGGTGGGAAATACCAGGCTGTGCACAGGAAGGTGCAGGGCCGTTTGCAGTGCCCCCCAGCGCTGCCTGGTGCCAAGGGATGTGATCTGGGCATTTGCTACCTGCCAGGTTGTCTGGCGAGGATGGAGGCCACAGACATGCTCAGGCATGAAAGCTGTGCAGGCGTGCGGGGCTGTGGGGGACCCTGCGTTTGGAGTAAGGTCCAGCCACCTGTGAGAAGAGCAAGATAAGCAGTGGGCATGCTGTGTGCAGATAGTGGGTAGCACAGCCCTGGGCTCATGTTGGCATCGGAGCCCTAAGGTCTGCTGAGCCAAAGACTGCCCTTCTGTGCACTGGAGGCTCTGTGCTAATATGCCAGTTTAGAGTATAAACCCTAAACCAAGACTCCAGTCTTTTGTGGTTTCCATCTTTTTTAAGTTCAGAGCAATTAGAAATGTTCATGAAGTATTTTCTAGAAGTTTAGCAAATCCTTCACTTAATTCTTTTCATTTTGTTAAATTCAATGAAATTAAATTGAACACTTCTACTAAGGTTAACTTGTATGATATTCATTGTGAAAATGTCTTACCCTGGCAGCTGGAACTCCGTGGTGTCTCCCATGAGCTGGGCACTGTTCCACACTTACCACACACACACTTGCTTGCTTAGTCCTCCCAGAACTTCGAGGTGGGACTCTTACTCCCCTCTTAGAGGTAGGGAACTCTGAGGCTAGAGCTCAGGTGGCTTGTCCAAGGTTAGGCCGCAGAGTTAGGACAGAGCCAGGATTTGAATCAGGGCTGTTGGTCTGCGCCTCCGGGAGACCTGCTGCTCACAAACCATGTGTGTCTCAGAAAAACCCTTGCTGGGTGTTAGGATTTATGTCTTTCTTCTTTGCACATCATTTAACCTTTTTTTAAGCATATTTTTATTAAACGCTGCATTTTGCAAAGGAAGCTGGACTGAAACAGCCTGAGGGACTGGGCAGCTGTTTGGCATGTGCATGGATGTCCAAGGGAAACGCTGTGATCTGCTCCCTTCCCTCCGTCCTTGTCCAGGCCTGGTTGCCTGCCCTCAGTGGCTCAGATCTCCCATGTGCCCGGACCTGTTGGATGGGAGGTTAAGGAAGTCTGCCCTCAAGAAATGGGTGCTGGGGTCCTTGTGATTGCTGTCTGTCCAAAGATGCGTATGATAAGTTGCTAAACTTTTCATCAGAATCCTGCCTTCTTTCTTTCTGCCTCTTCCCTTGTGACTCTTTCTGTCAAGTGGTTTTTTTAGTCTGCAGGGCTGTGCAGTGATGGGGGGGCCCGATGTTTCCCTAGAGCTGTGCAGTGATGGGAGGCCTGCTGTCTGCCCAGAGCTGTGCAGTGATGGGGGCCTGCTGTCTGCCCAGAGCTGTGCAGTGACGTGAGGCCTGCTATCTCCCCAGAGCTGTGCAGTGATGGGGCCAGCTGTCTCCCCAGATACAGGGGGCCCAAGCAGCACAGTGCACGTAACATGTGGTCTTTGTTTCATTTTAGGAGCATCAGAGTCTACACAGAGAGAAATGAAAGACGGCAGAGTCAGCCCTCCCTGCTTCCACGCAGGCCAGAGCAGTTGGTTGTGTGGGAGCCTTCTCATGCCCAGCGGGGCTCTGCCAGGACCAGCTCCGGCAGCTGGGGTGCAGTGCACCCAGGCTCAGCTGCTGCATGTAAGTGCCAGCAAGCTGGAGGAGGCTGGCAGGCTGGGTCACACCCCGCAAGTGTGACTTCCTCTCTGCGCCCCTGTCTCTGCTCCCGAACCATCCCAGGTCCTGTTTCACATACTAAGTAATCTTTCAGCTTCTCCCTTCTTGGTGTCCTGTGGCTGCACTTTTCCCAGCTTTCACCTTTTTTAGGATTGGTGCTTCTGCCTAGGGCCTCCCATAGCTGTTCTGCAGCTCTTTGGGGCTGCCTGGGCCAACTGCATTCTGGCCCTCAGTTCGTGTCTCGCCACGTGGCCGCCTTGGAGCGTCTGACACCCGCCCTGCCTGCCCCTCCCAAAGCCCTGCTTCCCTTCTCAGGGTGGGTGAAGCAGCTTCATCAGGCAGCTTGGTCACCCCTGTCTCTGGGGACTGATCCTGTGCATCAGAGGCTATAACTTTGCAGGTTAAAGGGGCTGGCTTTCCCCTACCAAGGGGAGCCCCTTGAGGGTGGGGCTGCAGGTCAAAAGTGGGGACAGCAGGGCCAGCAGTCGGGAGACTGCAGGAAAGCTGGTTCTACTGGCAGACAGAGCTAGCTGGCAAGAGAGTAGCAGCTTTTTTTGAAAATACACCCAGCAACAGATGTACTTTGAGGCAGAGAAACCTGGGTTTTCATTCTTAATCCTTTCCCTACCAGTTAGTACAGTCTTGGGCAAGTACTTAGGCTCTCTGGGTCTCAGTTTTACTGTCTGTAAAATGGGAGTGGTATTGCTCAGTGTTTGGCCAGAAGGTTCTTGAGGCTATGGAAGCATCTGGAGTGCTGATGGTGGCCGTGGGTGGCTGTGGGCTGGATGTGCAGATGAAAGGCAAACCAGTGCCCATCTTCTTTGAATGCTTAAGGCCTGGGAGCCTCCCCATCGCTGGGAGACCTGAAGTCTCTCTGGCCACATCCAGCTGTACCATGGTGGAGCCGGGGCACAGGTGTCTTGAGGCCTCTGGACAGCATTGAGGGCACCCGAGGAAGGTGCCGGGAGCCTCTGGCAGAATTCAGGAACAAGCCACAGAAGGGAATCTGGCACTTGTGTTAAGGGGAGGCACTCGAGTGGGGAGAGTGCTGGAAAGTTCCAGAAGGGCCTGTGAGGGAGGAGCAGCCAGATGGCAGGTAGTTTGGGCCCACTTGGCCTGTTGGGCCTCAAGCTGGGACCCGGGACCTGGGACCAAAGTGCGAGAAGGAGGGCCAGGAGGAGGGGCACGCAGCCCCCAGGCCCTGATTCCCACTGTGGCCGTGTCCTTAGGCCTCTGGCAGCAGGGTCTGCCTGGCCTGGAATTTGTTCTGCCGGTGCCGCAGGACAGTGTCCTCCGGCCTCCGAGGTGAGGAATGGTGCTGCCCTCAGCGAATAAAACCTGCCGTTGCCTCCCCAGGTCAACCGCGCAGGAGGAGAAGCCTTGCCGATGGTGCTCAGCCTGCAGCCTTCCACCCTCCAGCCTCTGTTCGCCGTTGATTTGCCCGTCTATGTCCTCCAGGTCTGGACTCCTTACCACTCTCTGGGTTTGTTAGTAAGACTGTCGGGAAGTTTCCGGCTTCCTAAGGCTTGTCCCTGAGGTGGGCCTGTGTGGAGACCCACTGGGGTGGTTGCCGGACAGTTTTGCTACTTTCTAGAAAAAGGTGGGTAAATGACCAAGAAATGAAAAGCTAGGAATGAAGCCCATATTTCTTGTCATTCTAGCTCCTAATTATAAACAAGGTGGAATTAAATATGCTCTTCAAATACTTTATAGGTAGAAATTCTAGTCACTTTCTCCTATGGGAAGTAGACTTGCTGGTTTTTAACCTGTAGGAAAATAGACCCAGACAAATTAAAGTAAGTGGTTAAGCTGAGTTTAGGTGGCAGCGCATAATTCAGATTTGGACATCAAATAATGAAAAGTATGTAGCTTATAAATTTTTAACAGTTTGGCTAAAAAATATATATGTATTTAAAAAAATCTATACAATAGTAATTTTAGTTTTCTTGTATTCAAATTGGGCCATTCAACATTTTCCTTAAGGTCCAATATAAATACTGAATGAGGCACTGGCATGAGGGTGTGGGTGGAGGCAGCTGGAGGCAAGTGGATGGGGGAGCAGTTTGGGAGCATATATGCAGAAAACCTCATAAGTGTGTACTCCATTCCCACTCACAAGATCGTTCCTAATGAAATCCAGTATTACACAAGTAATTGGCCAAAAGGTGTTTGTTCATCAAAGCTGCGAATCTAATGACGTGGGGAGGTTTCTTCTGGCAGGAGGAGGAGGGTCAGGTCAGTGACAGAGGCCGTGGGGCAGGCATCCTGGTCAGCCATTGGTGCAGACGGGCACCTAGTAACTGGGGAGATGCTTCCCACCTTCCAAGTGGGGAAAAAGGGCTACAGGTTAAATAAGGACAAGCTTGCAGAAAATGTACAACACAGTATTTAGTTCATTTTCCTTAATCTTGTTTATATTAACATTTTTGTCTTCAGAAACACATGTAAAATAAGGGGAAAGCAAGTGTTTGATGGAGACAAGTGGGAAGCACTTCCTCCTGGTGGGAGGGTGGTGCTGGTGGCCAGTGGTCCTGCCCCCTCACTTCTCTGCTTGGCTTGCAGGAGGTGCCACCTGCAGCTGGAGAGGCTGCGGGGCCTGAGGACACATGCTGCGCAGGGAGCAGTGACAGCCTGTGAGACCTGCAGTGAAGGGGCGCTGGAGGCGTTGCCTCCAGCCTGTGTGTCTCCTAACTCTGTTATGTGCTCTTACAGGCCTAGGGGACCCCACTTGATTTCCGTTCAGAAGGCCAGCCTAGTTCTTTAGAGACTTGGGCACCTTTCTAAAAAATGTGTTTTCTTTACATTTTATCAGGACCTAGTTTGGGCTGTACTGTTTGAACCCGCCTGTGTGAGCAGGGCTTCTGGGGGGCAAGGACGGCCATCAGAGAAAGCAGTGGCCTTCCTGGGCTTGGCCACATGCTGGCCAGCCTGGTCCCATTCAGTCTGAGCCGTGGAACATGCGCTGCATTTTACAAAGTAGACGTGTAGGAAATGGGGTGGAGTGCAGGTCCCCTTGGGGCTCTCAGCTCCCATAACTTCACATTTGGCCTGAGATTTAGAAAGCCCGTTTTCTGTCCTAAAGCTGCCAGGCCCTTCCCCGGCCCCTTGAGGTCATTTGTAATTGGGTTGATTTTTGTCACACTGTAGGGCAGAAGTGGTCCTTACAAGACAGCGAAGGCAAATTGTAATCCGTGTCCTGGGGGCCAGACGGGCAGGGTGTAGGAGGACGATGGTGAGGGTGCCAAGGGAGGCAGGTTGGCACCCCCAGATTTAGAGCTGCATTTGGGGATGGTAGAGTTAAAACTTTAAAGATCATTTTTCCAAATTCTGTAATTGGGTATTAATGTTTAATAGAACTTGACAACAGTTTGCAAAGTAAGGTTCTGAGCACTCTAAATGACATGTGGGACTGTAATAGTGGCGTGTCTATGTTTTCTGTTGAGGTTGAAGATGTGTATTTTTCCAGCACAGGGTCTGTCATGCAGGAGATGACTTGATGACCTGGTACATACTTACTTTTGAATTAGTGGACTGGTCACAGGGTTACTCAGAAATGCTTTTCTCTTTTTCTTTTTTTTTCCTCTCATGCCTTTGGAAGTGTATATTTGTTTACTTAGATACTGTTGTGGCTCTCAGATTTGGAATCATCCAAACTCTGCCTGTGTGGATTTCTTTATGGCTTGGGAATGACCCCAGCATTTGATGGTGACCCCTGTCTTTGTCCTGCTCAGAGGTGCTGTCTGCCAGGATGCTTCCCCATTCAGACAGACTCTGGACCCATTTACAAATAGCTCCTATCCTCATGGTCTGTGCTGTGCCACAGACTGAAGCACCTGGGTCATCCAGGACACCCCACCCTCGACAGGGCGCCGAGCCTGTCTGAGAGGGTGGCCTGCTGGCCACACCACACTGTCCTGCTGATGGGAGGGGCGTCTGGGCCATGGGAATGTTGTCTCAGGAGATGTGCCCCCCAGTGACTGTCCTCCACGAAGTGATTGGTACTGGAAGGTACTGAGCTTTCCTGCTGGCAATGGGCCCAACTCTTAGTGCAAATGAATAAAAGTTTTTGTACAGTTGCACACTAATGACAGTGCGTGGCTTAACTCAAGTTCCTGTGTGTACATTGTTGCAGCCACATCCTTATGTCGGTGGGAATGACCCTTCACCTGTCCAGGCTTTCTCACTTGCCTTTGCCTGGGGTCCAGCCCTGCCCGCACCGCAGCGTGGACGGGGTTCTGGGTCAGAGTCCATCCGAGGAGCCCCAGTGGGGCTTAGGGTTCATGATGAAGGGGTTGCTGGCATTGGAAGTGGAGTCTTCCTCCTTAAACAGGCTTCAAGACAGCAAATGGGCATTGAGTTTATTTCCCATGAGTGAGGAAATGTACAGCAGGCGACCCCGTGGGCACACAGGCAGCCAGCCCACCCCTCCCTGGGTCTGCCTCTGGCTGCCGCCCAGCAGCCTGCTAGGTGAAGAAGAACAGCTGCTCCTCCTTGTCCTTGTCCTTGTCCAGCAGCCTGCACTCAGGCTGCTCCTTGGGTTTCACAGCGGGGGGCTGGGAGCGGCCCACCAGTCTCCTGCCTCTCTGCAGGGGAAGCGGGCTGAGTAGTGAGCCTGCGCTCATGGCCTCACTGCGCCGGGGCACTGCCTAACAGAATGGCAGGTACCTGCCCCGTGCATACCAGGAGGCGTGTGAGCCGGGGCTGGGCTCTGTGGACCGTCCTGGTCTCTCTGCTCACACCTGCTCAGCTAGCAGGCCCAGGCCAGAGCCGCTCTGAGCTGACTCAGCAGTGAGTCTGGCACTGACAAAGCCTGTCCCTCGGGCACCATCCCCCTGGCTGTGTCAGGGTGGGGGGCCTGGACACAGATTGGGAAACACTGAGCTAAATGGAGGGAGCACACCTCTTTTGTTCTGGTGGTTGTGGGGGAGGCCCTGCAGAATCCACCATTCCCCATGTGACTGGAAAGTAAGGGTCAGTCCCAGGGAAAGCCCATCAGCCTTGTTTGTCGGGCTGTGTTTAGGCTTGGGCCTGCTTTGCAGATCTTGCCTCCTGTTGCCAGGGCCAGAAGGCGAGTGGCTGCTCCAGCTCATTCACTGTGGCTGTCAGGGGGCCCTAGTGACAAGTGGTGAGCTGGCCTGAAGTCTGGCTGGAGTCAAGATGGTGCATTGGGACCCTGTGGGGGCAGAGCTGTTCGTACCAGCTCTCCAAGCTGAGAGCTGGCGCCTGGGCATGGCTGGGACAGTACTGCTGGGCCACTCACTGACCAGGTGTGTATGCATGAGGGCTGACAGCCCCAGGGGAAGACTCCAGGACTCAGGTCCCAGGGGGTCCGCAGGGGCGGCGGGCTGGGGAATGGCAGACCCCAGTGTGCATTGGCCTTGCTCTGACGGCCCTTTCTCCCCCAAGAACCTTCGCGGTAGTGTCGGCAAATGTGAGCCAGGGTCACATGCAAGCCCTCAGCCCCTCCCAGCCTTGCAGGGCCTGGCCGAGGGACCCTTCCCCGGCAGTGAGTCGAGCACTGCCCTGCCCACCTTCTTCCTGATCTCGGCCTGGGCCCGGGCTCGGGCCCGCTGCAGACGCTCCTCCTGCAGCTGCTTCTGCAGCAGGACCTTCTCCTCCCGCAGCCTGGGTGGCAGGGATAGCAAGAGACGGTGAAGTGCTGGAGGGTTGGGGTCAGGGAGGTGCCCTAGAGCTCCTTCCCACATAGCCCCTGTCAGGCCATGGCCTCCTCTTCGGAGAAAACCCCACTCCTCCCCCGCCTCCCCTGCCAGGTCAGGGCTTGGCCTCTGCTTCTGCTCCTTGGGGTCCTAGCTTGGGGGTCCTGTGGGAGACTGTGTAAGGGGCATCAGCTCGTGCCCCCAGGAGGCACAAGTTCCTAGTTCCCCTCCCTGGTCACTGATCCACCTGTCCATGGCTCCCCCATTGTCACTCTTGAAGGCCCAGCACCTAGTCCCCTTCTGTCTGTACTTGGGGCATCAAACCTCTGCCCAGTGGCCGCTCCCAGCCGAGCCAGGACACAGGGAGGGTCCTGTCCTTGTGGGAGGCAGGGGGCTGTTTGCACGGCTGTGACTCAGGACTCTGCCCCAGAGTGACCGGCCCAGGCAGCCCACAGGCCTCTGCACTTCTCATGCCCCACGGGGTCTGTGGGGAGCTTGCAGGCCCCCTCAGAGGGCAGGCCGTGGCCCTGGGTCCAGTGTTCTGACTGCTGGCTCTGCCTGCCTGCCCTCCCCCACCTGCCACTAAACCCCGGGCTTCCCTCAGCTGCTCCCTGAGGCTCTGCCTTCTTTTCCCCAAGCCCTCACGATCCAGTCCAGACAGGAAATGGCTATTGCTGTCCCTTGTCCTTGGGTGATGTCCTGTCTACACCCTCCCTGTGGCTTCTAGGCTCCCTGACTCCACAGCATCCCCCACTCCAGAAGAGGGGCCACCCTCATAGCCCCCCAGGCCCCGGCTCCCTGGTTCTGGGGTGTGGGGGGTGTCCCCCCCCTCGGGGCCCTCACCTCGTGCGCCGCTCCTTCTCCTTGGCCCTCTCGGCCTGCTCCACCTTGTTCTGGGGAATGTGCTCCAGGTCCTCGAGCAGCTCGTCCAGCTGCTGCTCGATGACAGTCAGCATCTGCACGGTGTCCAGGCTGGACTCCTGCTGATTGCTGATGCAGTGGCGGTACACGTCCAGCACCTTGCGGTGCAGGCTCTCCAGCAGCTTGTCCTGCGAGTGGACAGCCTCCGGCGGGGTCGAGCAGGGCTCTGCCCGCCCCCACCCACGGCCACCAGGCCCAGGGCCCTTACTGCCACACAGCTGACCTCCCAGAGCCCACCCAGTGCATGCTGGGTGCTCAGGAAGCATGGGGCAAGCAGAGCCGGGACACCTGGACTTCCCCATGGCAGCACTGCCTGACCCCGGGACCCTCCTGTGTTTAGCTGAGTCCTGGTTCCCAGCCCCGAAAGGCTCAGCATGCCTTCCACAGCACAGTCCCCTCCTCCAGGGAGCCCTCCTGTTCTGCCTTTGCAGTGACCCCAGCTGTCCACAGGACCACGTCCTACAGTCTGCTTTCTGTGTGGCCCTGAGCAAATGAACTCCCCTCTCAGCCTCTTCTGACATTCAGACAACAGTTAACACCCCTGGCTGCACAAGTGGGTGTGAGGATTAAACAAGCAGCCAGCAAAAGGCTCAGGCCAGGTGGGCACAGCTGTGCCCAGCGAGGCCTGGCAGACGCTGATGCACTGGCCTGCACATGGCAGCATCCTGTGTCCCTGGCCTGGTGCCTGGCACACAGTTGCTGCTCCACAGGGATTCGAATGAGTCAGGGAGCTGGGTGCACGCCCATGGTCCCGGGGGTGCTGTGAGGGTGTGGGAGGTGGGGGTCCACTGCCCAGAGCACCCCTGGCTTGCTGTCCCCTCAGGGTATTCTCCCCCTCCCAGCCTGGCTTGGTTAGGGGCTCTCTCTCTCAGCAGGGTCACCTTCCAGACAAGTTGTGTGTGTTAAGAAGGAGACATATTTGTTGAATGAGAGAATGAAAGGAGGAGGTGTGTTAGCTAAGTGGACATGCGGTATAAATACACGGGGTGGCTCCATCTGGAGGCCTTGGTCAGGGCTGCAGAGCGGGGAAGGTGGGAAGGGGTCCCAGGCAGCCCTGAGCATGGCCCTGCCTCAGGCCTGGCTTTCCTGCTGTCCGAGCTGTGGGCCCTGGGCCTCCTGCAGGTGCCCATGCATGGAAACCCTGGTGCCCCGCACTCACTGGCCTACCTCATGAGCACCCTTGTACTTGCCAAAATGGAACACCCGGGCTTTCAGCTCCAGCTCGGCGGCCGTCTCCTCCTCCTTGGTGATGGACTGCAGCAGCACGGCGATCCAGTGCTTCAGCTCGTTGACCTCCTTGTCCCTGGATGGGGGACGGGCAGGGCCCCCCTCAGCGCAGCCCTGGGCACTTCACCTCTCTGAGCCTGGCCGCCACTTCCTGAGGGCTAAGGGACCATGACTGCCAAGTGCCCTCATGCCCAGGTTCAAAGGTGCTGGTGAGGTGCCGGGGGAAACTTCAGGTCTTTAACAAGCAACACTAAAAACCCCAGCCTTCTTGAAGTCTAATTCACATACCATACAGTAATTATAAAATGTACAAGGAAGTTTTTAGTACATTCACAAAGATGCACAACATCACCACGATCTAATTTGGGAACATTTTCAATACCCAGCAAGAAACCTGGGACCTATTAGTGGCTGCCCCCGCCTCTCCCTTGATGACTTCGTGTCTCTCTCCTGGACAATCATAAACACAGTCATACAGCATGTGGCCTTCGTGTTGGGCTCTTTCAGCATAATGCTTTCAGGGTCCACCCACGTGTGGCATGTGTCAGAGCTGCATTCCTGTCTGTGACCATGTGACAGTCCATCGTGAGGACGGACTACACTGGATGTATGCATCCATTTGGGGACATTTGGGTGGTTCCACCTTCTGGCTCTAGGGAATCTTGTTGCTTGAAGCATTTACAGACAGGTTTTTGTAAAAATGTGTTTTCATTCTTTTGGGTTTATCTTTAGGATTAGAATTGTAACAATCAACTTTGAAATGGCATCATTTAAAAGGTAATTGTAAATAAAAAAAAGATCTCATATTCATGGATGACACTGACCCCTCTATGTTGGGGTTTCCCGAGCAGAATGCCCCATGTTAAGGGCTGGCATGCCCTCCCGTGCAGGCAGCTGCACTCAAGTCTGGGTCCAGGTGACCATGTGGACAAGTGGCCCCAGCTCCAGCAGTGCCTGGGAGGCCTAGGTTGCCCCCTCTGGCCACCCCCACGGTGATCTGGTGCTCTCCCCATTCTTGAACTTAAGCAAAGCACTATGGACTGCTGTTCTTTTGCGCACTGGGGTTTCCATTGCCTGTCACATGGACCACCACAGGGAGGCAGCCCACAGCCCCCACAGGCTGCACCCCTCTGGCTGTCTGGCCCCCTGTCCTGGGCTGATGCTCAGAGGCCAGTATCCAGAGAGACCACACACACTCCAAACCCACCTGGGCCCTGGTGGGGCTCATGCAAGCTGCCCGGGACAAGAGGAAACACTCTCAGGCCTGGCTTCCTTCTGACTCTGAGCACCCACTCTAGATGCGCCAGCTGTAACCTGTGTTCTCAGTACATCCTTCACGTTCATTGGCTCACCTGGTAAGTGCGACCTCGCAGCTGGCTCTGCTGCTTTGCCTTCTTGTGAACGGACTAGGCAGGAGAGGCAGGGTTTTGTTTTGTTTTACTTGAGCGAGTTGGGATAAAAAGATACCCTTTCCCCTACTAGTTCTCTTAAATGTAAAATTATTGGGTCACTATCTCTCCTCAACTAGACCACACTGCCAATTTCCAGAACACAGAGGCACGAAGGACATGCTGCTCCGTGTAGTTTGCCCTGCTCCTCAGAAATGCAGAGTCTAGGCTGCGCCCAGGATCTGCCCAGAGTTTAGCAAGATCCCGGGGGATGCTAATGCACACAATCCAAGGAGCACTTTGCTGCTGAGAAAGTGATCTGGTTTCTCCAACAAGGGGTCTGCAGCGGGACCAGATAGAGAGACACCCTATAGATTGGAAGCGACTTAAAGACAAAGCCAATTGCCGAGTGTGATCTTAGTTGGATCCTAATTTAAACTTAACATTTTCAAAGTCGACTGTTTATGGATTATGGATACTCAATATGAGCGATTAGGGTTTTTTTTAGATGTGATGATGGTATTGTGGTTATATTAAAAAGCCCTCCTCTGGACTGCAATATTTACAGGTGAAATGATACAGTGCTTGGAATTTGCTTCAGGATGTTCTGGGAGATGCGGAAGTGGGTGGGGTCTAGGTAAAAGGAGACTCGCTAGGAGCTGATCAGTGTTGAAACCGGTGATGGGATCCTGGGGACTCATAATGCTATTCCGTCCACCTTTTTATGTGTTTATATGTTTGAAATTTTCTTAGCACTGTTGGGCTGAATTGGAGAAGTTATTAAAAAAATTTTAAAAGATAACAAGAAAGAGGGCCAGGGGACATAAGCACCTCGGAACACAGAAACAGAAAATTTGTTAGAAACAGCAAGTGCCACCAAGTGTGAATACAGATTGTTCAGATGACCAGGCATTGAGAGTTGCCATATTCTTACAGAAATAGCAGCAAAAGTAATAAAAATGAAATACTTTTAAACAGGAAGATGGCCGAGTAGGAAGCACCAGGACTCTGGCTCCTAGCAGGGTAACAACTGCACTAGCAGGATCTGTCTGATGGAATCACCTGGAACTCTGGAATCTCTTGAGGGGTTGCACCTTCCAGGGGAAGGCTTGGCATCAAACTGCTTAATTTCGGTCAGTTTCAGCTCCCAGCCATGTGGCAGGCAGCTGGGCGAGGCCCTGGGAACAGTTGCACATAGCCTGGAGGAACTAGGGTATCTGGTTCTCCAAATCCTGGGGAATCTGTGCTCTGATCACTGATTGGTGCTTCCATCACAGAGGTGCACAGAGGTGGCAGCCATTGTGGCACTTCCCTCCTTGTTGCAAGCCCCTCCTCCTCTGGCTGAAGTGACTGCCAAAGGACTTAAAGGGCCAATGCTCCTTTTCACCTCCAGTTTTCTTGTTCCCCTTTGAGAGTCAGTTGTTAAAGACCAAGGACATTGAAAAACAACAGCATATACAGGGAAAATTAGAAAGTGATCATGCATGCCCAGGGAACCTTAAGTTTATACCTCAGGCTGATTCTAAGCACAGACAGTCCACAACATTCAAATAAACAGAAACAATTAAAGAATGCACAGAAAACCTGGGGATAGGGAGAGAATCTGATCTGCAGACTTACTACATTATTAGATTTAAATGTTCAGTGTTTAACAAATAAATTGCAAGTCATACAAAGAAACAAGAAAGTATGGCCCATTCAGAGGGAAGAAAACAGAAACTGTCATTAAAAAAACCTAACGGGAGGTATACTATAAAACTGTTAAAATAACTGTCCTAAAAAGATGCTCAGAAAATTGAAACAAAATCACGTTCAAAAAGATATATGCGCCCCTGTATACTGCAGCATTATTTACAATAGCCAAGATATGGAAGTACTGAAGTGTCCATCAATAGGTGAATAGATAAAGATGGGGTATATATATACACGATGGAATATTACTCAGCCATAAAAAGGACCGAAATCTTGCCACTTGTAATAAGGTGGTTGTACCTAGAGGTTATTATGCTAAGTGAAATAAGCCAGAGAAAGACAAATGCCATATGATTTCACTTCCACGTGGAATCTAAAAAAAAAAAACATGAACAAACATGAAAAACAAACTAGAAATAGAGTAAATACAGAGAACAAACTCGTGGTTACCATGGGGAAGAGGTTGGGGAATGGGCAAAACAGGTGAAGGGAGTAAAGAGGTACAAACTTCAAATTACAAAAGAACTCATGGGGAGGAAAAGTGCAGCATAGAGAACATAGTCAATAATTCTATAGTATCTTTGGTAGCAGAAGGTAACTATACTTATCCTAAGCATTTCATAATGTGTATAATTGTTGAAGCACTACATTGTACACCTTTATGTATATCAGCTATACCTCAATTAGGAAAAAAAGAACTAAAGTAAGATGTGGAGAAAGTCAAGAGACTGATGTGTGAACAAAATGGAAATATCAATGAGATAGAAAACCTCAAAACAAAAATATTCTGAGGCTAAAAATTTCAATAACTGAAATGAAAAATTCACTAGAGGTATTCAATGGCAGATTTGAAGAAGGAGAAGAAAGAATCAGTGATCTTGAAGATAGGACAATGGGAATTACTGAATATGAGGAACAGAAAGAAAAAGATTGAAGAAAAGCAAACAGCCTAGGGAATTGTAACTCCAGGGAGAGGAAATCCCAGGGCAAAATACCTCTAAAACCGGAATCAGTCAAAGGGAGAAATAAAGTTTAAAACCTGTTTACTGCTTACAAACTGCAGTCCGGGATCATCTCTTTCCTGCTAGGGCAGAAACAAGCAAAAGAACTACCCCTAACCTCTCAGGATCAGATAAGCCCTTGGTCAGCTAGGTAATTACCCATTGATATGGAGATGAACTATTCTCTCCATCCCTGAGGAATGCCTGTTGATATATGCAGAGCACTAAATCCAGGTGAGACATTTTGGAAATATTACAGTTTTACCCAGGAATCCATGGGACACAAAAAGAGGACCAATATACACATTGTGTGAGTCTCAGAAGGAGAGGAGAGAAAGAAAGGGGCAGAGAGAGTATTTGAAGAAATAGTGGCCAAAAACTTCCCAAACTGGATGAAAGATGTGAATATAAACATCTAAGAAGCTCAAGGATCTCCAGATAAAAGGAAATCAGACAAGACACATTATTATCAAAATCTCACAGGATAATCAAAAGTCAAAGCCAATGAATCTTGAAAACAGCAAGAAAAGCAAATCACCACATACAAAGATCCTCAATAATATGATCAGATTTCTCATTAGAAATTTTGGAGGCCAGAAGACATTAGGTTGATATATTCAAAATGCTTAAAGGAAAAATCTGTCAACAAAGAATTCTGTATCTAGAAAAAGAAGTTAAGACATTCCTAAATAAACAAAAGCTGAGAGAGTTTGTGATCACTAGACCTGCCCTGCAAGATATGCTTGGGGTAGTCCTGCAAGGAGAAATGGAAGGACACTAGACAGTATCTTGAAGTGTATGGAGAAATAAAGATCTCAATAAATAAATACATAGGCAATTATAAAAGCTAGTATAAGTGTAACACTGGTTTGTGACAGTACTTTTTTTCTATATGACTTAAGAGAATAAATTTAAAGAAAAAAGTTATAGCAATACTAGCATTTACATTAATAACTTTTTGGTTACTAATTCCAATTCTCCTTTTCTCATAGTTT